TCTAAACTGTCTGCCCCTGGCTTGCTGCTCTGTTGATCTCTAGGCCTCACTGCCTCTTAGTTCCTCAAATACAGGGATAAATGTAGAGTATTTGAACTGTTGACTGTAGAGGATGAAGTTACTCGTTATAAAGTAACATCTGTTTTCTCATCAGGAAGCAGAATTTGTTAAAAAATTCTATACGTTTTTTTTTTTTTTTTGAATTTATACAAAAAGCAAGAATTTACTAGAGTAGTTGATAATTTCTTCTTTAGCTTAAAGATGTTCAGCAGCAATACTGGGGTAAAATTTAATATTAGAGGTAAAAAATTAAAATTCATAGCTTGAAAGAAAAAGTGAAACTATTATAAACGGTCTTCCAGACTTTATTCACTGGATTTCCAAATTTCTAACTCCACTCCTTACAAGGTTTCTTATAAAACAGTTTTTTAAATTACCGAATATATGTCTATTTAAGACTTTGCTGCTCATGTTTGAATCTCATATATGTATATCAGAGTTAAAGTTTTTAGTATGTATTGTACATATTGATTAACAACCAAGCTGAAAGTTATTATCTAGAATGTGTGCCCCCAGAAAGTGTACAATGTTTTGTGGAAGTTAAATTCTGAATAAATCTTAGAGAACAGCACTGGCAGTGGTTTCTTATGGGTAGCTGTATTTTGTTTTTTGTGTTTTTTTTTTAATAGATCCATCAAGAATCAAACTTTCCTGTTGACTGCAAGTCTCCATTTTGCCTTGACACATTAGTGCGCATACGAAGACCCCATTTTCACCCCTAAAATAAGGTCTTGGCAGTTATCGGGACAGATAGGCTGTCATTCTCCACTTCTGCCCCTCTGTCAGATATATCTGATATTGGCAGTTTCCTGATCAGCCCAATTCTTGTCTTTCTCAAGATAGAGCTCCCTGCAGTCTTTAACCTTTTTTTTTTTTTTTTTTTTTTTTTTTTTTTTTTTTTTAAATCAGGATTGACCCCTGAAATGAAACCAATTTGCCATCTCTGCTGTGTGCCAAAGTCATCAGTGAACTATTTCACAGCATGACAAATTCTGGAGAACAGAATGCCTCTACATGAATGGTTTTCTCTGTAATACAAACATCTTGCTTTAGGAAATAATTGAGTTTTGGGGGAAGCATAGCAACAGAAAACAAGAAAAGCCATAAGCCTGTCCTATAAAACAAGGACATGTTCTTTTAATTACAAACAGGTTTTTGTTTTGTTTTGTTTTGTTTTGTTTTTTTCTGGGAGAAACAAAACAGCAATAGAAGGATATTATAGTTTCAAACAAGAAGTATACTTCAGGTATCTCATTGATTTATTTCGTTGTTCAATAGGCAATAAAAGGTGCTCTGTAATGTCTGTGCATAGCATAGCTATGTTTGAAGATGTTGCTATGATGTAATAATACTTCTAACACGTTGGACCTCTGATCTCCATAGCAAAAATATAGTTTAATAGAGTACGTGCCTCATTAAAATGTAAAATTCTATACATGCTTTCAAAGTGATTATGTTGGATAGCATATAAAAGATAATGGACTGTTTATCACAGTTCTGGTTATTACTAATTTGATTCATGTATCGTCACTAACTACTTGGAAGTTTTGGCTCTAGAGCTAAAAATCCCTACCAGATTCTCCTAGTAGACAAAGAAGAAAGAAAAAAGAAATTAACTTTTTTGGGGAATATTATGTGAGCGTACTACAAACAAAAATTATCAAGTCTTTGAAGCCTTCCTTAATACTGATTAAGCAACAAAACAGAAATAATAACAAAAGTACTTTTGATCTTTAGGGCCTTTCTTCCTGTTTTCTCTTGAGACTTCCATTAGATTATATTGATAAAAGAAATTTAGTGTTAGATTTACCTCTACTGAATCAAAACATCATACCCTGGGGCATATAGAAGGCTACCGTGGAAAATAACATGAGGAGGGACCCGTTGTGTATAGTGTTACTGAAACAACACAACACCATTCTCTTTTGCTTGTGACTATATAGCATGGCCCAAACTGAATTTTAAATTTACTTACAGAGGTAATGTTGGTAATGGCTTTTATCCCCAAGACCTGCTTCAGATCATAAATAGGCAGTGAGTTGCCTAGAAAAGCAATTTGTAACTATTAACTAGAGCTGTGGCCCCAAGCCCCAGTATTAGACCAGACCTTGACAGAGAAGCTGTGTATTCCCCACCCCATGCTGAAACCCAAGTTTGGAACTCGACCAGTCTGATGAGTCTAGAACAGAATGAGGAGCAAGAGAGGGTGTTTGTCCCCCTTTACCTTGTAGCATGCTGACTGATGCCACTCACCCTAGGGCTTCTCAGCTATGGGCCCAGCTGCTGAATGAGTAAGAAAAAAAAAAAAAAAGATTTTCCACTACATCTAAAATAAAAGGAGGAGAGAGATGTCCATGTGCTCTGCTCTTGCCAGATATGGAGATTGCATTTTAGGATTGAGCATTGAAGTGTGGTAAAAGTCCATCACAGCAAACCAGTTAAGCAACCTGCATCTCTGGAGAAGGGGGTGGGACTTAGGGTATGGCTGAGGAGCAGGAGCCGTGGGTGAAGGAAGGGTCTTTAACGTTTAGTTTAGACGTGACTTTATGGTCTGAATTGTTTACAATCAGAATGTATTCGTGTACTATTTATGTCATTAAGGGGGGTGTGGGGAGAGAATCAGATTTTGCCAAATAACAAAGGAAAGGTCTTTGGGGACAGAAGTAATGGGATAGCAGTGACTTAGTTTTGAAAGGTCTAGTCACAGGACACTGAAAACAGTGTGGCAGGAACAGTGTGGGTGGTGGCAGGTGGGACGGGAAAGATTGGTGGGAATGAGCTTGCAGGTGCCTTGCATCCCCTCATAAGGACTTTGGGTCTTATTCACAGGTGGTGAGAGGCTAAAGTAGAAATAATATTTTAGTAATAAGGCATGGCAAAAGAATTCAAAGACTTTTGAAAGGTTCACCTACACCACTGTCACCAACTCTTTTGGTTCTTCTAGTTCTTACTCATTGTACTTTTTTAAAAACCTACTTGTAATCACAGTCTATATATCATTTTGTGTTGTGCTGTTTTCACCCAATCTTGTAAGAATTTTCCGTATTGCTGTGGAAGATTTTAGGCAAGGGAGTCACATGATCAGCTTCCTCTCTTAGAAAGGTGACCCTGGCCACATTGCAGAAGATGGATTTGATGGGGAAAGAATCCTACTGGGGCTAAAGAGTAGGGAATGGGTTCAAGAGATGTTTAGGGAGTTCTGCCCCAGTGGACCATAAGAGAGTTCTAGCACAGGCATGGAAGTTCCCTCCTAAGCCCACATTGGTAGTTGAGAGCAAGCCTCTCCCCTCTGCCAAGTAGAAATGCTGCCTGATTCCTCTTGGAAAGCCCTCCTGGGCCTTCAACACTTTACACTAGTCTCAGAGATCTGACTTCATTTTGAAGTAGGCTGAGCTCTGAAAGTCTCTGCAGAGTGTAACCCAGGGGTGATTGATGAACATCGTGCACAAAAGCAATTTTATTTGTGCTAGGCAGTAGTTACAGGTAGCTCCTGGGGAGTATTGTTAGTGCTGTACTTCCTTTTGGTACCTTGCAGGTTATCCCAGGGGGTCAGGTGTGTGTGTGTGTGTGTGTGTGTGTGTGTGTGTGTGTGTGTGTGTGTTAATGATAGAGGTTCCAAAACCTTTTTCTTGAAGGAAACATTATCATTATCATTGTTATTGTTATTATAGTATGCATTAATTGAAAAACTTGATTCACAAAGTTACTTTCAAAATGATATATTGGGAAGGGAGCATTAGGCTTAAGACATGGGGTAGATTCTACTGTTGCCCCAATCTTGTAGATTATATTTACAGGGCAAGTCCTTTAATCTCTCTGGTGCCTAGTTTCCGCACCTTGAAAAATGTAGGGAGTTGTAATTTCTGAAATGTATATGCTACGATTTCAGCAGTTCTTTTCTTTTTGCTGGGGAAAAATTTTTGATCTGTAGTAGTTGATAGAATAATATATTCTATGTTCCATTTTGTCAGTAATAGCATGGAGGCTGTTACCAAATATGGTTAGGCAAGCCTGTGAATTGGTTACTACTGTAAACAGCTTTCATAAAAATCTTTAATTTTAAGGTTCCTTTGATCTATTTGAAGGGCGTTCTGATCTAGTTTCACTTCTGTTTAGCAGACTGGTAGAATTAAAGACCAAGTAGACAGGCTAGCAGGGTGAGAAAGTTTTGGGGGTTGCTCTCCCCCCGTGACCCCCTTCCCTTCCCTTCCTTCTTCCCCTCTTCTTACTTCTTGCTGAGGAGGGAGCGAACCTCACATGTCAGTATAGTAGATATCACTCACTCTAACAGATTGTAGATGACAGTTAATTTAGAGACTATAACACTGTCTGAAATTTTACTTCTGTAAAATCTCCCTTTAAATTTTAGCTTCTCTTTTTATTTAAACATAAAAACCTCGAAGCCATTGAGGTCATAGAAAATTCCTCTTAACTTTGCTAATTCATGTAGGAAAGACTTTAGTAAATTGATTTCTCTAGAATTTATTTGTTTAAACATAGGTACATACTTTGCCATTTCAAAAGAAAAGAACAGAGATATCAGGTGGCTCCTTCCCTCCTTCCTTTTACTTAGATTGAAGTCATCTTTGAAGATAACATTTTCCCTTAAAGTTGCAGGGCATTTTATATATAAGTTGGCAGGAAGCACAATATTTAAACTTCCTGTCAGATGCTCCACAGTAGTGAAAACAGACTGATAAAAGGGCCAAGAAAAGCCTTCGCTCTACACGCAGAAGAGCACTGCCATATTTGGGCCTTCATGAAGTTTGCATATTGCTTTGCATATATACACAAAGTTTCCTTGGTGACTTCCTGTGTTCGATTTTAATTTTTGAGTAAATGAGGTTTTTTAAAGGTGGATTTATGTTATATTGGCATATTGTCTATTTAAAAGAAACCACTACTGTCTACTGAAAAAAAACACTATTTTGTTTCCACAGAAACCTGCTAATATTTTAGTTATGGGTGAAGGTCCTGAGCGAGGAAGAGTAAAAATTGGTATGTTTTATCTTTGATAAGTCACAGCGTAGCACTCTTTTAAAACTTTTGCAGGCAGCTGTATCACTTCTAATTTTTGCTGTAATAATATGCATATATTCATGTAGTTCCATCTGATCAAAGCCATTTCTAAAGAGTTTACATTAAAAGTGAAAAATGTTTCACACTCTTAAAAGGTGTCAGACAATCCTTAGAGATTGAAGTGTTCTAATTATAAAATAAACCATGGAAGTTTCTTAGAAACCTTTGCGTTCATTAAAAATAGCCTATAGAGGTGAGTGGCTTCTATCCCTGTTAGAAGCCAGCCTCACCTTTAGTCACAAGGGCATACAGCGTACTAGTAATTATACCATCAGTTCTGTTCACCTGAGCCAGATTAGATCAGAACATATGCCTCTGTTGACCTTGTCTAGATCAGAAATTACCAACTAGGAAAACCGTTAAGGCTGGATAGGTACAGAACCTTAAGTTCAAACTAGCCTGTCTTACTATAGAAGGCCTTTGCCTAATGGGGGAAAAAAAGTAACAAGCATTCTATACCTTGGCGTGTTTTCTAATAGCTCTGTTTTCTTATATATGAAAGCAAAACTTTACCCATTTCTGGTTTGGTACCTATAAAGATAGAACTAAAATTTATTTATTCTAACTGGTTATTTTTTTCATTGTCTTTTCCAAGTTGTGTTTGTTGCATTTATTTAGTTTGTCTTGTGTGTGGGTAGAAGAAATGTTGTAACTAAATTATATTTAAAGGCAGCAGGATTGTGGGAGTATACAAAAAAGTAAATAGTGATTTCTGATTGAAGATTTAATATAGATCCGAATTATCATCTGATTTGTACCACTTTGCCAACAAAGAAAAACCTAGGTGTTGCTAATCCCTTTTCCCTGTCCTCCCCTATAAAGTCCCCAGATCTCACTTTACGCTTTTAATTAGACTCTTAGAATGTTCTTTTATCGTACAAACCTTGCAAATTTTTTAGTATCACAAACATTTGATGCACCTCAAAGTGCTCCTAGTCATTGACTCCCTTTAAGAGCTAGGCCCTGTCAGTACTTACCATAGAGTCACCAAATGCTATTAAGTCCTTACTTGTGTTTTAAAAAGCCCAATTTGGTTGCATCAAGTTCAAATGTAAGTTCAAAGCATGCAAAATAGAAAAGATTCAGCCAACTAGTAGTTATAGGCATGGTTTTACTATAAGATTTGGGGAGATCTTATATAACAAATTAAAATCTAGTTTGGAATTATACTTCTATATAATGTGTATGATGTTAGCAAGTTTGGGGGGATACCAGTGACTTAAAGCATTTACATTTAAGAAGAAATATTAGTTCTTCTATAAACCAGTATTTAGTAATGTGAGTCATGTTTTTAATTCTTTGCCAAATTTCTGTGTTGTTTTTTTTTAACCTCCATAATTGAGTAGGTTAGACAAGGGCCTACTTCATTAAAAATGTATATTAGGAGAGCAAAACCAAACAAACGGTGGATAAGTCTTGACATTTTTGATAGGTGGTATAAATATTGGTTGTTCATTCAACATGTATTTGACAAAAGCTACGTGTACTGACAGTAGATTCTAAAAGACACAGATGAAAAAAAGACAGTTTTTGCCTTTAAGATTACAGTGTAGTAGGACAAACAGCCATGCCTGAATAACTACAGTACTTACTAAACTGTGTCAAATGCCACAGCTCCCGTTCTGAGCTAGGAGTTTATGACATTTGTCAAATCATTTAATTTCTTCTTTTGAAAATTTCTTCTTTTTTCCTCTTAAAAAAGGGAGGCGATTGAACTAGATGGCCTTTAAAAAGTCTTTTCCAGCTTAAAAAAGTTACTATGAATCTTTAAAGTTAAGCTAATAAAATTCAGCCAAAATAAATGGGGGGAAATAGTGGTGTTAACATACTGTATCGTCAACTTCTGATGATCCCAGTGAACAAGGCTTATTGATGCAAATAATGGAAGGCCTTACTGTAACTGATCTGGTGTCTCAATGCTTATTACCAGTACAAAGAATGGACGTGCAGCTTAACAACCCTGTCCCCAGCATTGGTGCGACAGGTGGAAAGAAATCTGCCCAGGGGAGTAGGGTCACCCTTGACCTCTGATAGCAGAGCCTCTCTGTAACCCAGGTGAAGAGCAAATGACAAGAGTTTGCCAAGATTGAAGATCTCAAACTTGGTTTATATTTAGGCTGTTGAAAGGGATGAAACGTTTTTGGTGCCCCCCCCTCCCCCCCCCGTCCACTCCCCCTGCCCTGCAAATTTAGCACTTTTTTCCTATCTTATGAAATAACAATGGTAAAATTAGAGTAGTCAATTAAATTTGTAAAAATCTATTGACTCAACATTATTATTATCTTTTTTTACAGCTGATATGGGCTTTGCCCGATTATTTAATTCACCTTTGAAGCCTTTAGCAGATTTGGATCCAGTAGTCGTAACATTCTGGTACCGAGCCCCAGAATTACTTCTTGGAGCGAGACATTATACCAAAGCTATTGGTGAGTAGAACTAATTAAAATTCCATGACATTTAAAAAGTGGCTTTGTTGTTGTAAAATATACATATTTCTATATAGTAAATCAAATACAGAAAATTATAAAAGTAAGAACAAAAACAGTCCTAAAATTCTTTTACCTAGAAATACCATTATTAGCATTAGGAGGGTATTATTTCAAGCATCTCTGTCTGACAGATAAATAGATATTTTAAAACTGAAAACATATGGGATCATACTATGCATTCTAAGTAAACGTGTATTTTAAATTTAATTTTACTTGAAAAGAGAAGTAAGCACAGTAAAATTTCTAAACCCTTAAGCTTCAGACAAATGTTTCTTTCAGCAAAAGAAATGTTAACTTCTAAAAGATCCCCTTAGAGTTAAGGGGAAAAAATTATGGAAAAAGTAGGAGTTGGAAACATCTTAATTCACTTTTCAATTTTTGACTGTGTTGGTTACCTCCCTACAATGAACGACTGGGAAGTGAGTACTCTTGTACTTCCTCCACACCGACCTCTCAGTTTATAAGCTATCTTAGAAATGTCATTGTCATCGTTATTATTACTAGCTTGTTGATGTTTATGACATTAATTTTGTTTGCCAGCTGTAATTCCCACCATGTATTCTCAGGTTGTGTATTATAATGAATTCAGTGCTCAACTACCACAGTCCTTTGACCACCTCTTTTCCATTACCGAGTCTTTATTCCGCCTCATTTTATTTGGCTGAATTTTATCATTGAGTACTTTTCTTATGTGCTTTGCTTTTCTTTTCTCCTTTATTGTGTGTTTTTATTGCTTATTTAACCTGCTCTGCGTTCTCCAGAATGACATCGAGCCTGCTTTTTTTCTGTCCCTTGGTTAACTCCATCCTGAAGTCATCTATGCTTTGCTGTATTCTGGATTGATTTTAATCCTGGCTTTTCTTTTTTTTTAATTCCTCTGTGTTGGATATGTTTCATTCTGGGCTTTATTATTTTGCTATAGCATATTCTCAAGTAACTTGCTTTGGAAGGGAGGTAAATTTTCTAGTTCTTGTGTTTCTGAAAAATGCCTGTGTCATACTGTATCACGCAGTTTGGCCAGCTTTAAAATTCTAAGTACAAAATAATTTTCCTTCAAAATTTGATGATGCTCCCCCATTGTCTTGTATCATTAGTGTCGCTAATGAAGTCTCATGCCAGTCTTATTCATTGGTGGATTACTTCGGTGGTTTTTCTTTCGAAAACAGATAAGAATTCTTATCGTTGTATTTCACAGTAATGTGCTGGCTCCTTGGTGAGCACGTTCATCCTGAAGTTCATAGTGGAAAGTCTGTAGAAAACTCTGACACTAGTCTTTTGATTTCATACTGTCTACTTTCTTTTTTTTTTTTTTTAACTTTTTTTTAATGTTTATTTATTTTTGAGACAGGAGCGACAGAGCATGAGCAGGGGAGGGGCAGAGAGAGCGAGGGAGACGCAGAATAGGAAGCAGGCTCCGAGCTGTCAGCACAGAGCCTGACATGGAGCTCGAACTCACAAGCCGTGAGGTCATGACCTGGGCTGAAATCAGATGCTCAACCGACTGAGCCACCCAGGCACCCCTCCTTCTGTCTGCCTTCTGTGTTTCTCTTTCCTAAACTGAGTATGGGCAGATATTGGACTCCTGGGGGTAATCCTTTATACCACTTTTCTTCTGTTTTTCTGCTTTTGTCTTTTTTTTCCTAGAACCCCTTCTTATTCTCTGTTAATTTTTTGTCTTATGGAAAGAAGCTTCTTGAATATCTGTGAGGACAGTGCTGTATTCCTGGAATAATTACCTGTGTTTTCTTTATAGGCTCCCTTTTTATTAATTTGTCTCGGTGTCTCCCTTCCACACGTCGTGTTCTTGATCCTTTCCTGTCTCTTCATATTTAAGAGTCACATTAACAGAAAGCTGCTTGCGAACTTTGTGTACACAGATCATAGGGCTCGTTGATTGGCAGACGTTAGGGTAATCTAGCAGAGAACTTTAACAGGGGGATCCCCAAGTGTCAGCATGCACGAGTCTTTGCCCTGAGTCCATTCAGATTCTTTAAGGGAAGAGTCTTTCCACTTTGGGCCCAAGTTTTGTATAGCCCCAGGGCAGCAGAGGGGACTAGGGGAAGGAGAATGAACTGTTTATAGAATACAGACTTTGTAACTGGTGCTGCAAGGACAGACTCTTCACGAAGTTGTACAGGACAGGCCTGCTTCCCACTCGGCAATAATACTGTGGCCTACGGTCTTCTCTGAGCTGTTCCATCTGCCTTCCAGCTTCCAGAAGTGTTCTTACATATCTCTGCCAAATCAGGTCTTCATATAGCCAGTCTCTTTTTTTTTTTTTTTTCATTCAGATCTTAGTCAAAACGCTACCTCTTCAGGGAGAGCTGTGATCATACAGTCACCCTGCCTTCCCCATCCCACTTCTAGCTTACTGCCGTGGTAACATTGAACAGTATCTAAAATCCACTAAAGTGGATAGACGTTGCCCAGCTGGTCACCCTGGTAGGCCAGTGCCTACAGGGTACACAGCGAGAACTCGGTACTCTCTGTTGAATAAATGAGCGAATCCTGTCCCCAGGGATTTCCTCCTGTTCAGAAAGGACGTTGCTGCCATTTCAGTGTATGTAAATGAGGGAAAAGAAGAAATACTTGTGATTATTCCCCTGTCTTAATCTGAGCCCAACATGTCTTTCTTCAGAAAAAAAATTTTTTTTTTTTTTTTAATTTAAAAGGTTATTTATTTATTTTGAGAGAGAGCAAGACAGAGCCCATGAGCTACGGAGGGGCAGAAAGACAATCCCAAGCAGGCTAGACGCTCAGCGCGGAGCCCAGCGCAGGGCTCAGACTCACGAACCGTGAGATCGTCACCTGAGGCAAAATCAAGACTCAAAAGGACACTTAACTGACTGAGCCACCCAGGTGCCCTCAGAAAATCTTTATGTTCACTAATCTTTGTACCTGCTTTGACATCAATTTCATTTTATAGAAAGATAAAGGTAGATAAAGTTAAGTCAGGGAGATATGGGACTTCTCTGTGCTTTGTGGCTGTTATACAAATCTGAAATTACTCCAAAATAGAATACTTTTTGAAAAGTCAGTTACAAAGAAGGAAAAGTAAAAGTTATTGAAGCTAGTCCTGTTTTGGGGGTACATATTATTACCTAGGCACATGTTTGGTTATCTTTTTTATACGTGTGTTCTAAGTGCTTAGCATATCAACTAATATGATGCATAGCTATTTTTTCCATCTAGAAATGAATATGTAAGAGCAGGGTTATTTTTGATAAGACATATTAACAGACTATACAAAGAAGTTATTGCCTAATCTTAGCTGTTATCAACTGAAAACTTGAGACTGAATTGATTGAAATTAAGTAAAAAATACACCATCACAGAAGCTTGTGTCTCTGACTTAAACTGTTTATTATCTTTTTCTCCAGAAACATTTTATCGTGAACACTGCAGTTTGTATAACCTGTTACTGTTCACGAGGACAATCTCTAGTCTGGCAGTTTTGATGCAGGGCTGCTTGTCACAAAGCTAAACTACCAGCCAGTTGTCCAGATGGCTCTATAATTTGGAAAGGAGAAGGTCTTTCTTCATATTTTTCCCCTTTTACTCCGTCATCATCAAAATTCATCGGATAACTGTTAGAGAAACAAGAGAAGCCAAAACGTACGCAACGTAATCTGACTGTAGCCTTAGCTCCGTCACTCGGTGGGGCGGGAGGGCGGCGTATGCACGCTCATGCTCGCCCTTAGCAAAGGTTTAGTTCTTTAGCCTCGTTTTTTGAAAGTGAGAATTTAGCCTAGGTCATCTCCGAGATTCCCGTTTAAATCCAAAAGTTCTGTGACGTTGGATAAAACAATTGCTTCTGAGGGAGGGAAGTTGCAGAGGGGACTGACTGGAGCGTAGATGATTGAAACCAAGGTCAGTGCCAGACCCTTTGTGGTGGTGGTCCCCACCCCATGAATACCTGGCTTGGCCAGGATCAATCTTGGAAAGCCCTTTTCTTTTATGCAGACATTGACTCAAAAGTGTTACAATATAGATACCTTTCAAATTACTTTTTTGAAAGCGAGAAATCATACATAGACCATTTTTAACACAAATTTTTAAAAATAGAATAAGGGAATAAAAAAGGAAACTTCTTCCTTGATTCCAGTCTCTCCACCACATTCGCATTCCTCCTATTACCTGCGTAAGTAGCCTAAGGGTCCATTAAAGTATTCAACAAATTCCACACACCACACACAGTGAAAGCTACTTATCAAAGAACTTGCCTGGTGTTTTTACTTCCCTGTCAGATCATTGTGGTTTGAGCAGCTGATAGAAGAACCTTTGTAGTTGATGCACAGATTACTTGTTCAGTAGTTCGTTTCAGGGGCATCCTTTAGAAGGGTGAAATCTGCTAGTGTAGTTAGTGGATTATGTTACACTGAAGGATATTAAGAAGCAGCAAAAGAGCATAGAGGGAAATGCTGTCCCCACCCGCTGTCGCCAACAGATTTTACCCACTTCTGTAGAACTGCAAGCTGAATCATTAAACCAGAGCGAGTAAATAATGGGTCAGTAAACATTGTACTCCCAGTGACAAAGTTTAATTCAGTTTTAAGTATTTTGGGGTTTTGTTTGGTTGACTTTGTAGACCAGGCTGAAAGAGGAGTTTCAGTTTTTAATCATCACTAAAGCAGTCTTAAAATTTTACTAAAGTATGGTACACTCGGATGTTTGTTCTCAAATAACTGAATGCCCCCTGATTATGTGGCGTTCTGTTAAGTGGGAAATGCATTATAAGATAAAGAGAAATGAGAATTTACTCTTTAACTAAGGTAGACACTTGCTATTAATACATCTGTTGATTAATACATTATTTAACAAGCCCCCCTTCCCTTGGGTCTACATGGCATGCTAATTCCTATCTACTTTGGCTGGTTAGTTCAGTAGCTATACACAAGTATTACAAATTCTGAGAAGGAGATGAGATACATAGGTTTTTTTTACCTTGGAAAGTCTTCTAGAAGGACGTAGGCAGGGAGGTGAACAGGGAGGGACTTTTTCATGAACTTGGCACAATCCAAAAAAAAAAAAAAAAAATCAGGCAAGATAGAAAGGAGAGACTTATTTACACAGATTTAGAAATTTATCTGAAATAATAGCCTGCTTGTAGCTAACTTAACTTTCTGATTAATGTCTGGATCAGGATTTTGAAGAAAGGAAGGATGATGAGATTGCTAAAAGGTAAGAGATAATAGAAAAGATACAAAGGGGTATTAGGGTAAGGTTAGGCAGGGCTTAATAAACTATTTCGTCCTACTTTCTGACTTTTTATTTTGGAAGCAATGTAGCTTTAAGGATAGCTACACGACTTACTTGCCTTCATCTTCCTTTACCTAGTTTGTTTTCTTCTTTAGAATTTTTCATAGCTAACCAGAATGAGTTGTCCGGTCTTTTGGGTGCTGTGAGTAGAGTTTTACACATGCAGACTGACCCATCAGCCCCTTTTTGTGATGCTACTTAGTTTGTCTCCCTTCCCTTTGATTGAGATTAACATAGGTCAAGCTATTTATTTGGCACACATGTAAAGAGAATAATCACAAAATCGTTTTTTCTGTGTACTTTCTGGCACTAAAAATAATATAGTTTGGCTTGTGTTTCTTGGTACTTTTCCATATGGTGGTATTGGCTGACTTGGTTCTCTGATATGGGAGAAAACTGATACGCAAACACAGCGTCATTTTTAAAAACCGCTTGTCATCAGTGTGTTGTGTAATCTCTAATAAATAGGCGATTAACTTGTTACTCTGAAATGTACATGTGATAGTTTTACATTCAAGATCTATATTCCAGTTTTAGAGTTTAGGAATTCTCAGCGAATTTGTAAATTAACATTTTTTCTCATTTTCTATTTATGTGACAGTTATTAACATACCTGATTAATTGCCTTTAATAAAACAGTGATTTTTATTTTTCCCTCTATCATTATTTCTATTTACCATGGTTATAAGATCAGTCAAAAACCACTGACTTGAGTGTCTGCTATATACACACTGTTGTACTTACTAGTATGGAGAAGTCAACCTTGTTGGCTTAGGGCTTTCTCAAGAGTGGAAACTAAATAGTTTCAGTTTTAAATTCTAAACTGGCATGTAGCTCTTTCTTCTACTAATAACAGTTCTGTTGAGTAAAAGTTCAGTCTGAATGAAAGTTAGCCTATATCTTAAAGTGAATGAAAGGAATTTGTTGGGTTAAGGAGGCATGCATTTGCCTGGCTTTTATAAGTAATTCCAGTGAGTTTCTACCCTTTGTGCCTCTTGAAGTAGAATTTTGCTCCCTGTTTTCTTGTCTTTATTAAATTGGAAAATCTGATGCTACTGTAGCATAAAGAAATACTTTGAACAAAAAAAGCTGTTCAAGTAGAAATGTGATTTCATTAGAATATTTGAGGTCAGGCACTGTCTTTTTCTTATTGGAATATGACCTTGCTTGCATGAGAGAATAATCATTAGACTTTACAAATTAGCAAGTACATAAACTAGGTGAAGAAAAAATATTTTTACCTCAAAAAATTGTGCTGACTTTTTTTGGGCAAGTATGCCCAATTTCAAAGGCTATTTGGGTTTTCTTGTTTTTGTTTTATTTTTTGTTTAATTTTGTTTGTTTGTGGTTCCTGTGCTCCATATGTAGCTTTGTATGTATTTCATAGATAAGGTAATGTTTGAAGCATTTAAAAATTGCCAAAAATGTAGGTAATAAATTTGATTTGAATTTGGAATGAAGCCACTGGGTGGAATGGAGGTATAATAGGGAATGAAAAATTGGGGTGGATTGGGTGGGAATATATTTACAAACAGTATTCCATGATATTTTAAATTATAATTGCTTTAGGAATTAATATGACTTATTAGGAAAACAAGAAACAACCACTCCCCACCACGATAAAAATGCATTTTCTTTTGGAAAGAACCACTTTATTTTCCTCCTTTCTTTTTCTTTTTTCCTTTCCTTTTTTTTTTCTTTTCTTTTTTTTTTTTTTCTTTTTGTTTTAAAGATATTTGGGCTATAGGGTGTATATTTGCAGAACTACTAACGTCAGAACCAATATTTCACTGTCGACAAGAGGACATCAAAACTAGTAATCCTTATCACCATGACCAGCTGGACAGAATATTCAATGTAATGGGATTTCCTGCAGGTACACATTATGTTTTTGTTTTTGTTTTTAAATCACTGTTGTTTAAACTTAGATATCTTCATTGGAAAGGTGTGTATCTTAAGCTGATGAAAGCCACTCTTACTCAGTTCTTTATATTTGTGACTTGCATTAATCAAAGATCCTTAGAAATAGCAAAATTTAGAGTTCACCTATTAGCGTAAAGATATTTGTGGGTCTTCTGAATTCGAGGAGTATATTTTTGTTTCATTTTATTTTGTTTTGTTTTGTTGTTTAATATTTGAAATGATAACATGTTTGCGATATCTGTATTAAAAGGTGCCTTTAGTTCTTACCAGGGGAAACTATAAATAAAATTCAGTAGTATGTATTTTGGTCCGGCAGTACGTATAATAATGCCATTACTTGGGATTTGAGTGTAAATTTTGAACATTATTTACATTTAGGGCACTGTACAGAATCACATTATGTTGAATAATATGAAACGTAGACTATTTTTGCTCTATCACCCTGGCTGGTAAGAACATTCTTTTAAGTGTTCTATTAGAACAGCAACCTTGCGTGCACTGATTAGCGGCAGGGAGAAAGTTGTTAAGGTGTCTCATCACAGGCGTTAGACCTCACCAGCTGTGTCTCCATCCCTTGTTATACCACAGAATGGTAGTTCTTCAGTCACCAAAAACTCCCCAGAAGTCTAGAATAATGGATATTTGCTTAAAACACATACATAACATTGGCTAGTGAGGTACTTATTAGAAATGGTTTCTCATTAGGAAGTTTTCTCAGGTCAGGGTAACTCAAGACTAATGCAGAAATACCTGGGAGTTATAATTTCTCATTCCCTTGTTGGAGTGTTAACACAAATACTACCTTTCTGCAGAATTGGTCAACAGTTCTGTGAAGACTGCTTTTTTGTGATGGGAATTGTATTTATTCACTAAATATTTGAGTACCTGCCATGTGGAGGCACTGAGTTATGCATACAGTCTTGTTGATATAACAGGCATGACTCTTGCCTTCTTGGAGTTTATACTGTGGTACTCTAAGTAGAATGTTTAAATAATAGCTATGGATGGAGTAGGTGGAGGAGAATGGTCTTTTCTTCCCACTTGTGGATGTGTCCACCATCTCTAAGGCCCGAGGCAAAGGAACATGGCTTACAAGGAGGTGAAAGTGGGGGTGGCTTCTGTAGGAGATGATTCTTAATGTGTAGTTCCATAGTTACGGTAGGCTCAGCTTATAAGAAATTTGAAAAGTAGGCAGCAGGGTTTAGATTTAATGTGCAAGAGAATCCACGATAAATTCTTGAAAACTAGTGATGTGGTTTATGTTCCATTTTAGAAAGATTAGCGTGTGGTGGTGGGTAAAAGTCAGTCAAAGAGAGGGAACCGAAGCCTTGCAAGCCAGCTCTTTGCCTGTATCACGGTACTCCAGGTGTAAGTGATTAAAAAAAAAAAAAAGGATGGGAAGTAAAGGACAAAAATGGAATTGTTTCTAGGAAGTGTGTACTTGAGGGAAAAGTAAAAGATTATCAAGATTTCTAGCTTGAGAAATTGACAAAATAGAGAAATCAGAGCAAGGAAATAAGGAGAAGATTCCATGCAGGAGTTGTGTATTTAGTTGACTTTACAATATGTGATATTTATGGAGGATAGGTAGTAGCTGTTTGTGTAAGTGGAAGGAAAGCTCTGAAGGCCATTTAAAAACTAACGGTAGCTATTAAGCTACCTGTTGTACTACGGCACCTGGTAGTCTCTCAGTAAAAGTCCATTGGTAGTGATGGAAAAAACAAGCTGTCTAGCATGCGTTGTTCGAGCAACTCTAAGGCCAGCAGAACTAACTGAAACATTTTCCACCTAATGTACCTAGTAGCTGGGGTTGTTTTTGTTACCGTTATTGAAACTAGCCAAGCCACCAGCTGACTTTTTTGCATACTAGTTATATCCTACCCTGTTCTATTTCAGACAATTGTTGTCGCTTACATTGATTGCTGACGTAAAGCAGTGTATTTAATAAAGTGAAAGTAAGGAGGGTCATATTTTTTTTTAAAGTGCATCTTATAGCTATGGAGGGAAAAGATACTACCTTTGTCATTGAAGAGATTGGTTGCTGATTTAACCAAGGTATTGAGTGGAAAAGGGGAAAAAGTTTTACAAACAGAAATAGAATGATTTAATAATAGAAATATTTATTAATAGCTTATTCCCCTCTACTTACAGAAATTGAGGCAAAAAAGAAATTGAGGTAACTGATAGTAAATTCTATGGAAAGTAGGCACTAAAAAGATAAACTCAAAAAGATAGAGATCTAATGCTATGCAAGGGATGAGAATTGTATTTACAGGTCAAGATAAGACGTTTCTATAGCTAGTCAATTATTTGAGATCTGTGCTTTCATGGAAGGTCAAAGTGTATGGCGTGTAATAAAAATTGAGGTAACTCTTGTTAAAATTCTCGAGAACAGGAACCTAGACAACATAAAATGTTATCAATGTATTCCACAGATAAAGATTGGGAAGATATAAAAAAGATGCCCGAACATTCAACATTAATGAAAGATTTCAGAAGAAATACGTAAGTTGGAAAGAAAGTAGACCCTTTTTTGATTTCTGCTTTCCCACAATACTTAGGTATAAGCTTGAGTACTCGACAGAATACGGAACACAAGGTTATGCTAACAAACAATTTTACTTATTTACTTAATAAATATTTTACATTATGGCATTCTTTATTGCTCAAGATGTTTACGTGATATAAAGACGATAAACAGCTAATTTTAGTAGCTAATTTGGGTAGAAAAAAACCCTTTCTGTACCTATTACTTTCTGGAAGCGGCATCAGTGAAAGTATCATAGCTGAAGCAGTAAGAGACTGAAATACCCAGCCTTGCTAGCACTGACTTGCCTCCCCACCTGGGTTGTGTAGTCATTTTACGTAGGCTTTAGCAGAGAAGAAGGAATATTTCATTTATCTGCAATGCAAGATCAGAGAATTGGGAGAGAGGACAGTTTATAGGCCTGTGACAAATGTAAAAAAAATTTTCTTTATACTAAAAGACTGAATTAAACATTTGACCTGTAGTTATTGAGATAAGAGTCATATAAAAAATGCTATTCAGTATATATTATTTATGAAATTATTTTGTGTTTAATCAGTGGTATCCATTCGTAAGTGACTAGTGTGCATGAATGAAATGTGAAATTGATCTAATGCTATGCCGATAACGCCATTTTTTATACATATTCTGTACCGGTTGTTATTAAAATGTTTGGAAAATCCTCAGCCGATGTAAAATTAACCTCAAAATCTAATAGGTATTTCATAGTATTTCTCTTTCAGGTATACCAACTGCAGCCTTATCAAGTACATGGAAAAACATAAAGTTAAACCAGATAGTAAAGCATTCCACTTGGTAAGCTTTAGAGAACAATAATAATTTTTTTTTCCCCTTGATTAGCCCAACCAGAGGTTTTTTGGGGTCATTTTATATGGTTACTTAGCACTCTTAGAGTACTTTATTTTTATTTATTTATTTATTTATTTATTTATTTATTTATTTATTTATTTAGAGTAATGGTAAATGCAGACATCTGGTTGGTGCATCTTAGTAAAGGCATGAAAATATTTGTTTTTGCAAACCCATAACATGGTTTAACAGACTAATGTTCAGTTATATTAGATTTTCTAAAGGTTGTCTTTGTATCAAGGCTGTCGAGAACATTTTTAGAGTTACATTTATTGGTTTTCATCAGTTATTTAAAAGTTCCAAATATTTCGAAGAATCTAAAAGAAAAACCATCCCACTGCTCAGAAATAATTTTTACAGGTTATTTTGTATTTCAGATCTTTGAAAGATTGTTTATAAAATTTTTAACTCCCAAGATACTCTTACAGACTTGGGTATTAGAAGTCCTTCAGTGATGGTGTGCACTGTTTGCATTTTCTGGAAGAATATGAGAGTTGCGTGATTTATTTCTGTATAATGGAAAAATAACTTGACCTAGAAACTGAAAGAATCCATGCGCTATCATAATTTATGAGATTATATTCAACTATTGCCGATTTAAATTTGTTTACAATTTAATTTCCACTTTTACATCATTACAATTAAAAATGATTTTCAGCTTTATGTTTTTAAGAAAGTTATATAACATACTTGGAAATTTGGGGGAGCAGGCTGTATTATATTTGGCTTAAAATTTTAATCCTTTATTCTCGGTATTTTTAAATGAGTTCATTAAGTGGGATTTTTTTTTTTTTTTTTTTTTTTTTTTTTTTTTTTTTTTTTTTTTTTTTTGCCTTGAAAAGATTATATTTTCCTTTATTACAGTACCAGGCCACTTGCAAACATGTCTTCTATTTCTGCTTTTTCTTCTCTGTCTACTGCTTCTGCTCCTACACCTTCTACTTATTTTTATATCATGTCCTATATCCTATATTTCATATCTTATTAGCAACTTAAAAAGCAGTACTTAACCTATCTTATTAGCACACAATATATTATTATCCAAATAATGGTTTCTTATAACGTACTTGAAATAGGACCCAAATAGGAAGGTAAGTTAGATCCTTCAACATACGGATTATTTATTCTAGCAAAATAATGGTAATAGTGGTAGACTGAAAGTCACAGTTTGCCCTTCCTTCCCCCCAGTTTGCTGCTCTTTGACATGGTCTGAAGTGGCTCTCATAACCATCACCACTGACATCCCAGAGAGAGACTTCCCTTGCAGCTTATTTGCTCATTTTTGCCAGGGTGACCTACCTTGTGTGGGCCCATCTGAAAACTCGGACTAACTCCATTAAAACTGTTGACTATTTTAAATGGCAAATCCGTGCTTTTCTTTCAACTCTAAAATTGAAGCTGCACTTCCACTGAAATCTCATCAAAATTAAATTTAAATCTCGCCATCCCGGCACGTCTTCTGTATTTCTGAATATTTTATGTCCTTCTGTCCTCTGTGCCCTCTCCCATCAAGTCTCAGCACGTCTGTTGGTTTTCAAGAGTGGTCCTGGTCCACCGCACCAGAGTCATTTGGGAACTTGGTGGAAAGGCAGCTCTTCGGACCCCTGCCCAGACATCCCAGTCAGAGCTCTGGGAGCGGGGCCAGCGGTCTGCTTTCGGAAGTGCGCGAGCGGTGATTCTGATGTACTCTGACGTCTGAAAACCACCGCATTAGATCAAAGAGGAGAAGCTGAGAGACCACTATTTAGATAAGCTCTTAAATCACATGTTAAAGTCAAACATTCTAAAATAAATAAATAATAAAATATGTTAGTTCGTAAAGTCTTTCGGTCAACTATGTTTTAACCAAAAAATACTGAATTTTCACGTGAGTGCGACATTTCTATAGGTAGCAAGGTAACAATAACAATAATAATAGCAGCTAACACTTACTGTCTTTGTGCCAGGTACCATTATGTTTGCTTTCCATACATTAACTCATTTAATCCTGAAAACAAACCTTTGGTAGTAGACACGATTGTTAATCTCCCTTTGACAGATGGGATTACAAAGAGAGTAAGCACCTTGTCCAGAGTCATTCGGCTCATAAATGTCAAGTCAGGACTTGACCCAAGCAGTAACCTTGGAGTCTCCCATTCATAACCCCTCTGTACTTTACAAGTTCTGTATCAAGCATCATATTTATTTAGACTAGGATAGCACTGGCCAGGAGAGCTTTCTCTGATGATCTGTGCTATCCCATAGGTTAACTTCTACCCACATGTGTCTCTTGAGCTCTAGCAATGTACCTGATATGACTGAGAAATTGTTTTGTTTTGTTTTGTTTTTTTAGTTTAATTTGGTTTTAGTTAATTTGGATTTAAATCTAAATAGCCACACATGGCTAGTTTATTATTTGTGTTATAATAATGTTTCCCCTTAATAGAAAAAGAATAGAAAAGACAAGAATTTAGTTCTGTCCTAAATTGGGCAAAGCAGTTCAGATAATGTGGGTCATTGGTTTGGAGTAAGGCATACGTTTAGTTACTTCTGAAAGGAGAACCAAGTAAGATCATGATTATTAGAATGACTAAATGTGAATTACTACATTAAATAGAAAATAAGTTTTCCTATTGTTAATTTGGGGGAATAAATACCTTCAAATGGTGGCATTTTCATCAAAAAACATACACTTCGCACATGTGTCCGAGGAGATGACTATGGGAAGTAACGCAGTAACGTTTTTATGACTTACGGTTTCAGCTTCAGAAGTTGCTTACCATGGACCCAATTAAGCGAATTACCTCAGAACAGGCTATGCAGGATCCCTACTTCTTAGAAGATCCGCTTCCTACATCAGAGTAAGTGACCCATGTATTAATTCACCAGCACGATGGAATTTTTTGGAGCGTGCTTTATTTTAGCTACCAACTCCAAGTCGCCACTCCTGTGACAGGAGGACCTGAGGAAATCCCCACAATAAGCCAGAAATGAGCTCTGATGACCGAGGTGTCATTTAGGCATCTCTGGCCGTGTCTCGCTTTGCGAGACGTTGCCGGCTCTAGTTTCAGGTGCACTCCCGTTACTTGGTGGCGGGTCGCGTGTGGGTGCTGCCACCCCCTCAGACTCCCCGAGGCCGCTCACCGCTTGCACTCACACTCTGTGTTCCCAACTGCAGATCTCGTTCCCTAAGAGCAGTGACGTTGCAGCTGGCCTCTACATTTCGGGTATAGTCATAAAGAGTAAGCCTGGGCCAGAAGGAAGTTGAGTCATATTCGATGATCGATTATTTTTATAGAGTTCTGAAAAGCCCTCCCACGGCCTGCTGTAATGTCACGGGTTAGAAGAGTCATCTCTTCACAGCTGCAGGAAGAGTGCTGGGTTTACAAATACGGAGGCAAAGCCCACCTTAAAAGAGTAAAATGAAGGATCTGAAATATCGATTAGCATACTGGAAATCATTTCTCCTTTTTTTTTTGTGATCAGCGTTTTTGCCGGTTGTCAGATCCCTTACCCCAAACGAGAATTTTTGACAGAAGAAGAACCTGATGACAAAGGAGACAAAGTAAGTATTAAAGTACATTTCCTGCCTCTTGTTGTGGCCAGTGCGACCGTGAAGATAATTTTGCTTGTATTTGGTTCTCCTTCTGAGTTGAACTTTATTTTTCTGTTTAACCAATTGAGAAGAACCAGCAGCAGCAGCAGGGCAATAACCATACTAATGGAACTGGTCACCCAGGGAATCAAGACAGCAGTCACACACAGGGACCCCCGTTGAAAAAAGTGAGAGTTGTCCCTCCGACCACTACCTCAGGTGGACTAATCATGACCTCAGACTATCAGGTATTTCTAGTGTGTTTTGTTTTGGCTTGCCATATCCATACTTGTAAGTGGGTTCGTGACCTTTGGGAAATGCAGTATAATTAAGAAAAATGCTGACTTTTATGTACCTGGGGAAATGACACTGACACGAGTGTCACTGGCATGGAGAAACACTGACCGATACAGTAGAGGGAGCTGGCTTTTGAACCAGACAGGCCTAGAATGATCGAACTTAAACTACGCCATTCATCAACTCTGTGACCTTGGACAGACAATGTGACATTTCCCGGCTTTAGTTTTTCATCTGTAAAATGAGAGTAGCCAAGTCTAACTGGTAGCTGTTGTAAGAGTAGCCGTGATATATCCTAGCGCCTTAACTTGTAGCAGCAGCTCGGTCAGTGCTGTCTGTTGTTTTGAGACAGCCATATACCGATAACGATTAAGCACACAGGCTTTCAAATCCCAGCCCAGCCACTGACTTTGGGTAACCTTGAGTAAGTCATTCAGATGTTCCCAGTTTTCTCATTTACAGAAATGGACAATGGCAAGTGTCAAGTTGTAACAACGATTTAACGAGAGAACGTATGCTGAGGCACAGTGGCTGGCCTGCCTTGAGTCCTTAACGGATGTTACCACTCTTACTGTCTTCATCATCATTCCTGCCATCAGAAGTCTTAGTAGCATTCGTAGCACCCAAGTTTATTTATTTATTTTGAGAGAGAGAACATGAGCTGGGGAGAGGCAGAGAGAGAGAGGGAAAGAGAGAGAGAGTCCCAGGCAGGCTCCGAGCGTTCGGCACAGAGCCCAACTCGGGGCTTGAACTCAGGAACCTGAGCCGAGATCAAGAGTCAGACGCTTCACCACTGAGCCTCACAGGCGCCCCCTTAGTAAGCGCTTCTTAAGTGGTGGTGGTGATGCTGGTGGTGACTGTAATGATAAGAGCTTGTTTGGTACTTACTCTGCTAGCTTTTATACTAAGCATGAAACCTACATTATTTCATCATTATCTCAGAAAACTGATGCTCAGAGAGGTTCCATAGCTTTCACGTGTTCCCCTGCCGAGCCGGGGGCAGACCCAGGACACAGACTCAGATCCGACTGCCAAGGCTGCCTGCTCGTGGATCCTGTCGAGTGACATTGTCAGTTCCTTTGCAGAAAGACCTGCTTTGAAAATCGTATTCCACCTCCTTGCTCATTCTGATCATATTGCCAACTCAGCCGGGTTTCAGTGTGGAGAGGACACTGAAAGCTTGACCAGTTAGAGTTACTTACCTACCAAAAGAGAAAAGGAGATCTTACTGAACTGGTGAGCTTCCCAGAGCTGCCACTACGGTTCAGGAATAAGATCTTCGCTCTTCGCTTTGGTTGAGGAGGGGGCCAGTCCACCGAACCATGGAAATTCTTGAGACTCTGCTGGGGTAGCAGCTCTCTTCCAGGAACAAAGCAGGGACGTCAAGGGCAGACATCTCTGAGGGTTGATGTTTGTTCAGACATCTCTCTCTCCCTATCTGGATGGAAAGAGTGCATCCTTCTTGGCCCAAGAGTGTGTTTGCACACTAAGGCATCCTTAGAATGAAGCGGAGCAGTGCTTGGACCTTTGCTACTGAAACCAAGAAAATGCTGCTGCACTTCTTTGTTTCTTGGTGTTCTCATTGTGGTTGGTTTTTGTAGTGACTTCGATTTCACGTGTCCCCTCTTTTAAAATTCTATTTTGCTAGGGTTGGCAGAATTTCGGATTGTATGATTTATTAACTACGCTTTGAAAGAGGAAAGTAGTAAATTACGGTTAATCAGTTATCACATTTGTCTTGGGAGCTAATAATACGAGAGGGAGAGGTGCAGGAATGGGAATAATAATATAACAGGTCAAAATCAGAGGTCTCAACTCTATCACTGTTCTTTCCCTTTGTGCTCTTTTTAGAACTGAGAATACCATTCTTGTTACGTTTCTATAATTACGAACTTTTGTATATACCTTGTAGCAGAAGATAAGATTCATTAAAGGGCATAAAAATATTAAATGCCAAAGAGAATTATTCCGTGGTACCTTTTCTTGCCCTGTTCATTTTTTTTTCTATTTTTCAGTCACAAGCATGTTGAGAGGTTTCTACCGAAGAAACTAGCATGTAAATTAGCTTTGAATTTCTTAGTGTGTCCATTCCTAAGTTCATTTATAAACAACTCGAGCAAATTAATTATTACTTATCAAGTAGGTACAAAACGGCTTAAAGAGGGAGGTTACTGCTCTAGAGAAACAACGAACTGCACAGCATTGTAATGAGACTCAGCCTGATATTGTTTGCTGGCAATACTCTGACCTCCACGAAGAAAAGCTGATATTAAAAGATTGGGGGTTTTCATCATGTTCCGTCTAGAGCTAGTGTATGGCACAAGACTTTGAAATTCTTACTGCCTTGAAATCAGTGACATTTTAAACACACATAAGCCTTGCTGGCTCGGGATGGAGCTGACTCTTAGAGACGTCTGACTCACATGTCTCCCTCGTTCTCCATTTTCCAGCGTTCCAATCCACATGCTGCCTATCCCAACCCTGGACCAAGCACATCACAGCCACAGAGCAGCATGGGATACTCAGCTACCTCCCAGCAGCCTCCACAGTACTCACACCAGACACACCGGTACTGAGCTGCGCTGGAATGTTGTCCGTGCACCGTTGCTAGCGCTGTGGACTGACGGTGCAGCTCCCTGCGGGAACCCGGCATGGGCCACGGGAGTGTACTGTGCGCTCACATCCTCAGACTGTCCAGTAGCCAAGTTCCACCACTTTTCACAGACCGGGGTAGTGGCTTCCAAGTTGTACCTGTTCCGGAGTTAGACTTGAAAGAAAGTGCTAGCACAGTTTGTGTTGTGGATTTGCTACTTCCATAGTTTACTTGACATGGTTCAGACTGACCAATGCATTGTTTTCAGTGACAGTCTGTAGCAGTTGAAGCTGTGAAATGTGCTAGGGCGAGCATTTGTCGTTGTATGTGGTGAGTTCTTTCAGTGTAACAGCGTTCTCTGACCAATAGTACACACACACACAAGTTTAACTGGTACTTGAAACATACGGCGTATGTTACTCAACAAAATCACCAAGACGCAAAGTGAGATTATTTTGGTACACCTTTCATTTTAGTGTCTTATCAGTGGGTTGATTCATTTTTCTACATTAATCAGTGTTTTTTTTTGACCAAGACTATTGCTTGGGTTTTTTTTTGAAAGTACAGAAGCCACATAGTTTTTCCAGAAAGGTTTCAAAACTCCCAAAGATTAATTTCCAACTTATAAGTTCGTTTTTATTTTCAATCTATGACTTGACTGGTATTAAAGCTGCTATTTGATAGTAATTAAATATGTTGTCATTGATATAAACCTGTTTGGTTCAGCAAACAAACTGAAATGATTGTCATAGACAGTGTTTTATTTTTCCTGTTGGTGTTGCTGATTAGTGAGCATGCTTTAAGATGAAAAAAGCATGAATGATAACTTCCTCTGAAAGGTGCGGCATCCGATTCAGATATCCTGTCCCGATTTTAAAGCTGGTTGGTGTAGTGCTATTAAAATTTTGTTCAGTTAATTTTCCTTTTTAAAACTCGTTCGCACGTTGTTTAGGGTGCCCTTACTTCAGCAAAGGAGAAGGAGTAGGAGAGCCTTAGGATTTTTGAGGAAAAAAAAAAACCTATAACATACAATGTACTGTATCAAACTATTTTACATGAATGACACAAGTATTCTGAATTAAAAAAAAATTGAACATTGTTAAAAACAAGGTGTTATGTAATAAATTTATTTTTCATAAATCAAAATATGGAGTCAGCTGTATTTTTATATACACAAAGGTGTTTTATTTTAAAATGTGCCTTAACAAGTGGCCTCTCAATAAATCTCTGTGATTGTTTTCATTAATAATGTCTATATATTCTACCTCTGTAGTGGAGTAATGACTTAGGATGTATATACGGGTTCTTTCCTCTGCTGCACTTCGTACTATGATAGATGTGGAGTAGACACCTTTCTAATCGAAAGAATTATGATGAGCTTTCCATTTCTAGAATAAGGCGTAATTCTGTCTTATGCTGAGAACAATTTGTTTTATCCCAAATAGTTCTTTTTCCTCCCTCCTTTCGCACAAAACCCAGAAGATTTAAAAAGCTGACTTAATTTTTTTCCTAAAAATTCAACTCATTCGGATAAAAACATTCGAAGAACTAAGGAATTCCCAATCCTGCTAGGCCGGATCAGAGCAGTGAGGATAATTTAGGAGCTAGACCTGTGTTGCCACACGACGTCTTGCCGCCCCGGCTCGTCCGCACAGCTCGGGGATCTGATCACGGAGCTGCCTCCCCAGGGCCCTCGGGAGCTGCCCTCTGACCACAGACTGAGTCAGTCTGACTTCTGTCAGTACCCTAACCCGCCTTCCTATTTCCCTTCACTCGAATTGCCTTCTGTTTTTCCTCCCTGCCTTTGATGCAGTGGCTTCCAACCTCAGTGGGCGTGAAAATGATCTGCAGTTTGTTTTCTCTGGGTCTAGTCCCAGAGGTTGGTTCAGGGGCGCAGGGAGGACACGGAATCTTCATTTTTAACGAGCTCCTCAGTTGGTTCGGATGCGGTTGTCTGAGGAACACAGGAGAACACCTCCAAGCTGGTCTAAAGATTTGAGCAAACGGCAGTTCAGAGACTTGGAGAGAGGGCCGCCGTGTCGACAACCCGCCTCCTGCATGAATTTCAAAAAATAGAACCCTGGGGCACCAGGGCTGCTCAGTCTGTTAGGCGTCTCTTGATTTTCGGCTCAGGTCATGATCCCAGGGTCGTGGGATCTGGCCTCCCACACCGGTTCCACGCTGAGCGTGGAGACTGCTTAGGATTCTCTCTCTCTCTCTCTCTCTCTCTCTCTCTCTCTCTCTCTCTCTCTCTCTCTCTCTCTCTCTCTCTCTCTCTCTCTCTGTCTCTCCCCCCACCCTTCTCTCTCTGTCTTTCAAATAAAAAATAAAATTTTTTTCAAAAAAGTAAAACCCATTATGGCAAGTTCCACTGGAAATGTTGGAAACGCCTAGGGCTCAGTTCTCAGATTTTTAAATTTAGCAACCCCTGTTCTCTGAGGGATCCTGTCCAAACTTGAGGAGTTAAACATATTGACATATGTTTATGACATATTAACGTATGTCATATAACATATATATGTGGCATATGACATATAAACATATTAACATATGACATACGTTAACCATCAACTTGACATATCCAGCCTATTTCATATACGGGTCCAGCTGCGTATATTTAATTGCATCTGTGACGAGAAACGTGCACAGACATACACCCCGTCGTCCTCCAGCCCGTTCCTGGCTTTATTTCTCTGTGTTGCACATATATTTGACTGTTGTCTGTCTCTTCCCTGTACAACAGAACCCCCCCCCCCGGGAGGAGCCTGTACCGTCTCAGCCTCTCCTCTTTTCCCTTGGCCCTGGGTGAACGCATCGTCCAGGCTCAGGACTCGGGTAGGCCGACGGTTCCCGGATTTCCCGTCCAGACCTACCTGCCGCATCTGACTCATTACTGCAGATTGTCTCTAGACCAAAGATGCCCGAAGCGGACTCCGGCCTCCGCCTTCCACCCTGCTCCTTTTACAGACTTAACCGTCTCCGTGGCCACGAACCCCTCCCTCCCAGCCGTCCAGGCCGCACCGACACTGTGGCGTCATCCTTGCTCACACGCACTATTCCCGTTCCGCATGCAAACCCCGGGCGCTTTCCCTTTATATCCCCGCCAAACTACAGCCACCCACCTCTTCCCTAGACTCTTACACAAGCGTCCTGCCCGTTTCCGCCCTGTCTCCTCAGCCTCCAGCAGCCCGAGGGACCCTTTTAACACAGCCCGTGCCACTCCTCTGCTCTCGTCCCCGCAGCGCTCCTGGCTCAGTGAGAGCCACACAAGTCCCTGCACGCCGTGGCCTCCCATTTCGTACACCTGTCTTCTGTCACCCTTCTGCGCCGTTCCTCCAGCTTGCCAAGCATGTCTTGTCTCACGGCTCTCACACCCTATTCCGGCTGCATCTGTCTCCCGCTCTCCCCAGCTTGGCTCGCTCCCTCACTTCGTCAGGTCTGCTCAGATCTCATCTTAGAGAGGCTCTTCCTTTCCACTGTGAAATAGCAGCCTGCCCCCCGCCTCCCCACCCCAGCCTCCTTCTCTGTCCCCTTCGGCCGGGCTTCATTTGCCCCCATAGTACTGACCGCTACCAACTCCGGCTTGCTTGGTCTTCCTCCCCACCCCACCAGAAGATAAACTCCAGGCAGGCAGTCGTTTTTCGTTGAGATGTCGTCGACCTGTCACCGGTCCTGCTTACGGGGTGAGAGGTGTTGATTGGATACACTTAGGTATTCAGCATGATTGCCACAGTGTTAGCTAACACCTCTAGGCGGTCTTTTCATCTACGGCAACTGGAAACGTGCCTTCATATGACAGTGCTCGTAAATATTTACTGAGTGAATGAATGAGTGAACAAACGACTCCACGTTGGGACGTCAAATAGGATCTCAACTCCAGCATATCCAAAAGAGAACTTTCAATCTTCTCTCCCTCGCAACCTCTGGCCTCCTAACTGGCCCCTGGCTCCCACTCGCACCATTCTGTGGCCTGCCTTCCACACGGCACCGATCCTTCCTCTCCAGAACACTGATCACTACTTGACACTGGTATACATCTAGGGTTTTCTTTTTTGTTTGTGTACTTGTTTATTGTCTGTCTCCCCCATGGAGTAAGGATTCTGTAGTCCTTTTAAAGAATAAACTAGAATGGTCATCGTGCATGCTCGTAAGCCTTCAGTGGCTTCCTGAGTCAGTCACACTTAGGAGGTTATGTGTTTTTTAAGGAGGATGTTTGTAGACATCAATAAACTTTCTCTAAAATTTATGGAGAAGCGAAAGCACTAGAATGAAGGAGTACATAGAAGATGCATTATGTGATTTTAAGCCTTAGCTAGACCTAGGGGCGCCTGGGTGGTTCAGTCGGTGAAGCATCGCACTTCTGCTCAGGTCATGGTCCCACGGTTAGTGAGTTCGAGCCTCGCATCGGCCTCTGCACTGACAGCACAGGCCTTGCTTCGGACCCTCTTGTCTCCCTCTCTCTGCCCCTCCCCCGCTCACACTCTTTCTCCCAGAAATAAAAGAATAATTAAAAAAAAAAAAAAAAGACATCTAAACCCACAATAATCAAGACATTGTGATATCGGAGAAAGAATAGTCTTATAAATCAATAGAACATGATAAGTCCAGAAAGGTTACTGACACATAGAAGGGCAATCGATTTTCCAAAGAAGGGCGAAAGCATTTTAGCAGAGAAAGGATCGTCTCTTCAGCAAATGATGCCGGAGCAATTTGATATCCTTAGGCAAAACCAAGCGAACAGAGCCTTAATTCAGACCTCGTACTCCATACAGAAATGAACTCAAAATGGATCATAGACCTAAATCTAAATATGAAACCTGTAGAATAAAACGTAGGAAAAACCTGTGTGACCTCGTGTTAAGCAAACATTTCTTAGATATAATACCAAACACACGATGCAGAGAAGAAAAGATTGACTAAGTTAGACTCTATCACGATCAAGAACTTCTGCCCTTTGACAGACTGTTATGAGAACAGAAGACA